GACTCACACCAAGGTTGGAAAGGACCTTCATGTCATTTCCTGTCCTGCTGTTTACTGCCATCTGTGCTGTCATTTCAGGCAAGAGATCCCCAGGTCTCTTATCTCCTAGCCTGGCATGGACCCTGGTCACAGGGGCTTTAACTCCCCCTCCTACAGGAAGGTGGAAAGGTGTCCTTCCTTTTACTCACACAGTGGATAAGGAGAGAATTAGAGTAGCATGAGTAACTCCACAGAACTGAGAAACAGATAATTAAGTACCTCAAAGAATTGTGTACATCGGTGGGTGAGAACACAGCCTTTCCAAAGTAAGTTTAACTTACAGAGATTCTAAAATCTTGTGGAATCCTAAGAATTGGTGATGATCTGAGAGGTCAAGGCCTCTCTTGGGGGACTCTTAAGGCGAGGCATCTACCCTCCTACAGCTGGTCAGACGTAGCCTAGGTTTGCAGAAGGAGCAAAGCTTGCTCACATAGCCCCCAAGGAGAGCTTCTTACACAGAGGAAAAGGAAGCTGCCTCAGTACAGGAGACAGAATGGCTAAGAAGCCCTCTTCCTGCCCATACTTTCCACTTTGACAAAGGCTCATTATTCTCAGCACAGGCTTTGTCACAAGACTCTGGATTTAAGTCCCACATTTACCACTTAGGATCTTGGAAATGGTGGGCAGATGCTAGCCCCTGAGTTCAGTTTGTCTGTAGACTATGCCGCCGGATCATGGGAACAGAGCACTGTAGATCAGTCTGTCCTGTGCCGAAATACATCACAGTTGGTCCGGTGAAAGAGTTAAGTTTTATCGTTAGGTGTTTATAGCAACCAATGTGTGCAATGATAGCACTGGCCTCTCAGCTTATCTGGGTTTGATGGTTTTCTGCACCAGCATACATCACCCCATCTTTATCTCTCCATAGGAGGAAGTTACACCGCCTTATGTGGTTCCTCAGATTTGGTAAATCAGAGTGAAATTCTTAAAATTACTCACTTGGGTTACTCAAAGGCGCTCTAAGTGGGAGGTGTGACCCAACAGCCATTGGTTCCCCCCAGCTCTCTACCATCTGCCCCATCCCAAAGGAATAGAAAAAATGCTAACATTTGACAGTAGTGGTTAATGATGGCATCCTCACTTGCATGAGAGGGCAGCCATGACAAAATGGCTTTCTATTCAATTTTAAGACCTGGTAAAATGGGAAGTTGAAATTAACCTCAGACCTTTTATAGTTAAAAACCTCAACAAATACACAGTGGTTTGCTGACTTGGCGACTCATCCCTCTCCATCCACACCCTGCCCCAGATCACTGAGACGGCTCTTTTGAGTGATTCTCAAGCATACCTGATTCTAGATAAACAGAGGTGGCATTCTGTGTGAAAGCTTTCCTGACCACAGAGCTGGAGGGGCCCCTCCACCCTTCCCAGCAAGGAGGTCCCAGCAAGGCACAGTCCCCAGCCTTTCCATAAGCTTTTCCATTCTTCCAGCTTCCAGCTACTGATATTTCTGTAAAGCTGAAAAACATTTGCCCAGAACCTCTGAGGTACTGCCTGGAGTACTTCTGGAATGAGTAAGTTTTGTAAACCATTTCAAAGACAATCATACTGTATGTCTTAACGTGGGATCTTAAATATAGTAGGAACACATAGGACAAGGCTAGAAATTAACTGTTTTCCTCATGTCAAGAAAAAGTGAAAAGGGCTGACCAAACAGTTCAGTGGATTAAAGTGCCTGCTTAGGCAGATACAGGGGTCAGAGGTTCGATCCCTGGCATGCCATGCTGGGGGAGCCCCAGGGGCTCATTGAGACAATTGAGACTGGGCATGGTGGCATGCACCTGTAATCCCAGCGCTTGGGAGGCTAAAACAGGAGGATCACTACGAGTCTGATCTTTGTAGCAAGACCCTGTAGACGCTGTACTAAATACATTTAAAAAAAAAGTGAAGGTATCAACTGGCCTAGACTTCCATATTACTTGTTAACATTCTTTTTTTTTTCTTTTAAAGATTTATTTATTTGGTACAGGGTCTCACCATGCAGCTCAGATTAATAATGATCCTCCTGTCTCAAACTCCTGAAAGCTGGGATAACAGGTGTGCACCATCATGCCAGGTTTCTGGGCCAGCCCAGAGCACAAAGCCAGCATGGCATGTGGTACTGGGGATCAAACCCAGGTCCTTGTACTTGCCAGGCAGGCTCTTAGACTACCAAGCTATCTCCCTGGCCACCTGTTAACATTCTAATTTCCATTTTTGTTTTATTTTTTTTTAAAGCTCAAGGATCTACTCAAAACTTGACACGTGTAGTTTTTTCTTGTATGAAATGAAAGAGGGAGATGGATATATAGACAGAACAAAAGGGAAGAGACAGAGAGGGAAGGGGTGAGGGGGCAGGAGAGAAAGAGGAGTGTGAGAGCAAGATGGAGGGAGAGCGAGAGAAAGAGAGCGATCTACATGAACATTTTAGACACTCACTTCTCAAACATCATTCCTGCCATTTTACAAGTGAAGTACTGCATGTCATACTTTAGAGAGAAAGAACATCAGCAATCTGGGTAGCACATCCTGCACAGTAGCAACAAGTTTTTAAAAGGAGTAGGAAAGGGGTGATGGTTTGTATTAAACCTGATACACTGCTAAGCACAGTCCTTCAAATTTCTATGGGCTGCCCAGTAACATCTCTGCCGGCGCACAGAGGACAAGGATTCCAATGGGCCATCTTCTCAGCCTCCACTTTTTTTGTTTTCTTTTTGAGGTGTCAAGGAATCATATTTGATAAAAGAAAATTTGTATTTCCTTTGGTGAAATTCTCTCACCAAAACTATTGGACAAAGGCAGATTTGATGCTGACAATTTTAATTTGCCCTCCTCAATATGGTGGAATTTTCCAGTTTAAAATAGTTTCTTAGGGGGGCCTGGGAGATGGCTCAGTGCAATAAGTGCTTCCCTGGCAAGTGCAGGGGCCTGAGTTCAATCCCCGGTTCTGCCAAAAAAAAAAAAAGTTTCTTAATATTTTTTCTATTATCAGTAAATTAAAAAGTGAATGTAAGAAAACTAATAATTTAACATGAGTATCTCAACTGAAGAACATGTTTGACCTTTTATTTAAGATTATGTTTATATGTACAAGTACTGTAATGGGAATATTTTAAAATTATTCTTTTTGATTAGTTATTACTGAAATAAAAGAAAACTTTTCATGCAAAAAAAAAGTGGATGTATTTATCACCTTAATAGTATCAACAGTCAATGAAGCAAGGAGTGAATAAGAAAACAGAAGTCTTGCTTTTGACTTTCACACATGGAGCCCAGGAGATGACACAGGATAATTTGCATGACCCAAAGAGAAAAGCACACTCTTAGGGGGTTTAATGTCCTTAGAAGAAAGGCATCATTTCATCCTAACCCCATTGCTTTCATCATTTGCCCTAGTTTACCATACGTGCTTGCATTGTGGAATCTCTTAAAGTCAATGTACATATTCCGAATCCTTATTTATGATTATTAAGAACCCAAAAGCCGCTGACTTTCCACGACTTCATCCTAAATATACCTAAGCAAAGATGAAAGGCAGTTTCCCAAATATCTAGTTTGAGGTCTCCGTGTATATACAAAAGGGCCACACTACAGCCAGCCCACTTCACAGCTGTGTGTGTACTTATTTTATGGGAAGATTTCTTTGGGACTTTTCCACTCTAACAAAAGAACCTCCCACATACAACTGAGCTCGCTAACGGCCTGGCTTGCTGTTTTGCTCTGCAGAAGATGTCGGCAAACCTTGCAAGAGCCTCACGTGTTAACCACAACAGAGAGCTACGGGCCCAGAAACTGTACCAAGCAGATGCTGGCGCATCCCACCACAGGACTCACATCTAGAAAATGCCTGGGGAAGCTCACTCCTGCTGTCCAAGTGGGGCAAGGAGCTACCACATCCGCTGCTGGCTGTCTGCCCTTCTCTGCAGATGTGTTGTTTATCTTCTGCTTTGAGTTGAACAAGCCTGCTTCTTTGACAAAGGCCGCTTGCTGTGACCATGTCATATAGGGCTGTGTCCCGCCCCGCACAGAGACGATGACCACATTTCAGGTCCTCAGAAGGGTATCCGAGAGCAGCCACTGAGGTCAGCGCTTCCACCATGTAAATGAACCAGGCCTGTTAACTAATTTGGCACGGTGGAGTCCATGCAGTTACTGCATTTCAGTGTTTTGGCACTTGCTGGCTAGCCCCATGGGGCAGGGAGACCTGCATCCTTTATTGATTTGCAGGTATGCCTGATGTGATGGCATCCATCCGTGCCTACCATTGCTTTGTACTTTTTAAAATAACCTATATTCATCACAAATAATCTGAAAGCAATAAGAACTTGAAACATCTGACCATTTACCTAGAATTGTGCGTCTGTGTGTGCATTTGTGTGTGTCTTGAAGCCTAATGGATGGGTAGGAAAAAAACCAGCAGAGCCAAAGCCTACCCTTAAAAATAAAGTGCAACATCTAAGGATGCAAATAAATGTGGGTTGAAAGTATTTTTAAAAATTGCATCTGTACTAAATATTTACAAACTTTCTTGGCATGAATCACTGTAGCATGTATTTGTACAATATTTATATTACATTAGATATTAAAAGCAACCCAGAGGTAATTTAAAATATTGGGAAAGGATGTGAGAAGCTTATATGCAAATAGTCTGCCCTATTATACAAGGGACCTGAGCACCTAAGGATTTTGGCATCATTGTGAGTCCTGCACCCATCTTCCATGGATACCTAGGAAACGCTGCACATAAAGCTATGGATATCTATATCCATAGCTACATCTCCTCTACCTCCTATGCACCAATGAACTTGCATCCAGATCTCTGCATGCAGCTGTGACTCAGCAGGTGGATGCAGCAAGAGAGGCCTTGCTTACGAGCTCCCCCTGAGCATTCAGGAAAAGCCAGGGCTGCTCTGAGCGGGCTCTGCATGGCGGCCCCTCGAAGTGAGAGCAAGGTGGCAAGTGGGCTCCACCTTGGTACTTACCCTGCATCTGGCTCTGAGGCTGAGGGTTAAAGGCAGTGGAGTGGTTCACTCGAGGGTTGGGCGTGGGGGCTGGGTGGTGCGGGCTGACCCTCATGGCCGTGCGCCGCAGCTGCTCCAGTTCACTGAGCCGCTCGGAAAAGGACAAGCTCCCAGGCTTGGTTTGATCATCTATTTTCTGACGATGTCCTATTGTGGGGAGTGGGTGGGGAGGGGTTGGGGAAGGGGAAAGGGAAGGAGGGAGGGAAGAGATCAGAAAATGCATTGTGGAATTTCTAAAACTGGGGGGGTGTCTTACCTTTTCCCTCCCTCTGCCCTCACCCACAATTGTGGACTCACTAGAGATTTACCCTTGGGGACATGTGCTGCCTGTGGGAATTCAGGGCTTTCATCCCCTAGCACTCCAGGCCCTTCCCATCACCCTGGCCACAGGGCGCTCCTTGCACCCACTTTAACCATCTCCACCACCTCTGTTTGGGCAGGGTGCAGCAGGGGCTGGTGGCAGCAGCAATAGCAGTAGAAAAGGCAGTGTTGGGCACAAGGCCACATGCGGTGGGCTGAGCTGTGCCGGCCAGGAAGAGGGCTATCCCTATAGCACTAGAATGCTGCTCCTTACTGCAAAGTCTACTGTGACAGGTCTGAGAGGCTTCTTGGGCCCGGGAGCTTAGCAGCATGCCCTCCCAGCAGGAAATGGCATAGAGTGGTGAACCCACAGCCCAGGGACTCAGACTTCCTAGTGTGTGCAGGGAAGCTCCTCTTCCTCTCAACAAAGGCTTATGAGGAACTGCTTTCTTTTCCAAGCCCACTCCCTGGGTGCACTGCTAAGAGTGTGCACGAAGGAGAAGCCTGAGCTTTGGTCAGTGTTCCCAGCAGGCTGGGCTTAAGGGAGTCCCAGTGGGGCCATCAGTTAATTGGGTGAGCCTTCCCCGGGGACTCAGGTTGGAGGGTGGGAAGGTGGAGTCTCAGTGTCTGTATGGACAGTAGGTGTCCTTGCCTCAGTCCTCATGATCCTCATCGAAGTCACTGTCACCAGGAAATGGCAAGCAGAGGTGCTTACATGGGATGGGTCAGGAAGGCTGGATGGCCCTCCCCTTTTCTCTCTGAATCCACCATCAAAATCCTATTAAACTGGCTGGGGATTTAGCTCAGTGGCACAGCGCCTGCCTAGCAAGCCCAAGGTCATCAGTTCAATTCCCAGTACCAAAAAGAAAAAAAAAAAAAATCCTATTAAACTAGAGATGGCAGCATTGAGTGGTGGGTACTCTAAAAAGGACACAGTATGCAAGGCTTAGGTGATTCCTTCCTCTTTCAAGAGGGTGGCCTCTCATTCCTTCTGTACCCTTGAGGTTTGTTTGCATAGAGCCCTTGATCCATTTCACTAAAACCCCTGATTGTCATACAGCCTCAGAACAAGGCTGGAAAAGCAGCCATTTTACTGCCCCTGAAGGTTCCCCTTCTTGACCCCTCCCACCATCCTAAATCAGAATGGGGACCCTCTACTTCCTCTCCCCACAGCCTGAGGTAGAAGTGGGGCTGGGAGCAGCCCATTTTCCTCTAACTCACCATTGCTACAATTATAAAATTGAATTGTAGGACTTGTGTTATGATTCTAAATCTCCGTGGCTTGCCATTCCTTCCTGCTACAGGGCCCCTTGGCAGTCCTGATGCTGTCTCAAATTCCAGACCAGAAAAAGGGCCCACTATATTGCAGTGATTTTATCATTAACAAGACCTATTTGGCTCCAAAAGGAGGAAAAATACTTAAGCATAATATTTGTGTAGTTCAAATGCAATGCTCCCTCTTTTCATGTGTCACCAAGGCAAATCTGAACTCTGATTCAGTGTTCCAGCCCACAACACTCGACTTGAACGCAAACACCCTGAGTCACGCAGGCTCAGCCGGCACACATGTGAGAGGCCTCTTATGGGCAGAGTATTTTAAGCATCAGCTCTGTGGACAAAAGGCACCAGGTTCCTGAGCAACCATGTCATCCCTTTTCATCAGAAGTACAAAACTATCTTTTTCTAGAACATTCTATTTCAGTCAGTCATGGCCTAACTCAAGGTGTCCAGATGGAGACTTTCTTAGTCGCCCTTTCTCTCATCTCTTTGACAAACCCTCACTTTCAGATCATCACACTCAAAAGATCTGACGTTTCCTATGCAGAAAAAACACAATTCTAACTCAAAAAACATTTAAAACATAATTCTGCCCTTTAAATGCCTGCCACAGCTTAATGCCTAGTATTAGGAGTCAAGGCAAGAAAATGGCAGGAAATATGTTTCTGGGGAGTTCTACGGTCTTGGAAAGAATGCCGGCCAGCCAGGGATTCCAGTATGTTTTCTCTGTCTTTCAACTTCACATTCCTTGGGTGCCCAGTGGCATTTTTGAAGAACACTGTGTGAAGGGCACAGGGCGGCCCAGAGGAATGGTGTGCACAGGATCATTCTGAATACACGGTATTCGGTGTGGCAGCATGTTTGGCCAGCCTTTGAAGAAAGGCTATCTATTAGTACATCTGTTTCAGCACACTTGGGGACATGTGCCTCTGAGAAACCAAACAGGAATTAAGTTGTTTCAGGCAAGCCCCTATGTGGCCAGACACATGTGAGATTATTATTTTTATTAGTTCCCCTCATTACCCTATGCTTAAAAAAAGACTTTTAATGTGAGCCATTTCAATACCAGCTGACACCTGCCAAAATCGTAGTCATTTACAGAGATTAAGTGATGACTGTCTGCTTTAGCAGGAATGTTCAGGCTCAACTCTCAGAGAAAAACAATTCTTCACTCTAAGCTGTTTCCTAAGCCCTGGGAGTCTCAGGGCTGAGCTTAATGCCGGAAGATTGGGGAAGGGCTCATTCCATGCCCTTCCCACGTGCGCGGTGGGAGTAAGCCGGGCCTCTGGAACCAACTTGACCCCCACGCGCACAGCAGAGCTGAGAACTGCAACGCCAGGCATCCAGGAAATGAAAAGCACCCTCGTGCTGAAGGTGTGCTCCGGACGCTTTCATAGGCTCGAGCGCGGAACGCCTAATTCTTCTTTTCTGAAACCACCAGGTTTCAGGTGCCAGATAGCAATATTTTGTAAGAAATACAGGCGCTTCCGCTACAAACTCGGGCTGGAGAAAACTAATGCTTTGCGTCGTCAGTTCCCTGCATCTGTGCGCTATTAAAATGTCAGTGTGACCCCTGAATTTTAAATAGAGGAGTACGGAAAATGGCCACTTTGGAATTCACTTTTCTTCTTTCTGAGTGCTGGGCCCTGGAGGACAATAGGGAATTCAACCCTGGATCAAACCACCAGTAAAATTATGACATTGCCTTCAACATACACAGTACGTGTCGTGGCCTGGTGTTTTGAGCAAGTTGGAAATCAATTGTGGATATTCACAGGGCAGCTACCTCCAGCCTTCCTACTGTGGCTGCTTCCTGAAGCTTCAACAGAGCTTAAAAGGATCTTAAATTCTTCTGTTACTGTTTTTGCATTTTTGAGAAACAGTACTGGATTAGAATTTTATTATATTTGCAGTCATTAGAACGCAAGGCAAAAAGCAAGGGAGAAAATGTAATAAAAATAAATGAATGCCATTTGCTAAATTTTACTTCATTTCAAAGACATTTCTGTAGTTTCTTGGGATGGCTGCCCATTAGGACATCCCTACATATCACAATCTTTTATGGCAGACCTTGAGAACAGCTTTTGTTTTGCTCCTGTAAAAACTACACTGAACACACATATATCTCATTGATAACTCAATGGCCTTTTTCAAGTCACTGCTGGGATCGGTGGCTAAGAGTAACTGAAATATACTTATTATAATCTCCTGTCAGAAAAAAATACTAGGCTAACTTGTCACCTTTTCTTGGAAAAGTTTGGGTAGAAAGAACGCACAATTTTCTGGCAACCAACAACACATCAGTTCATGTTCTGATATCGGTGTTGTTTGTAGTTTTCTTGGTAGAGTCTCCGCACAAAAATGAAAAAGGTTAAAGCACTGCCAGGATGAGCAGCTGAAAAAAATCACATGAAATGGTAACATCAAAAAGCTACACATCTCGGGGGGTGTGTGTGTGTGTGTGTGTGTGTGCATAAAATCACGCTTCTCTTTAAAAAGACACATGAATCTCATACACCGGCTTTGTACAAGGATATCTACATTTCAGAAGAAATTTACCAGTCACTCTGACACTAAGTACACGGATCTGGACATAAAAACACAGAAGGGTCCTTCCTTTGATATGCTGCAGTTTTATGGCTATGGGGGAAAAAAAGCGTGTGGATAGAGAATAGTTCACTCTTCCTGTGAATTCCACGTCCCAGGGTCATTAGGATTTTAAAGTGACGGCACTGCATGTGAATGGTTTCCCTCCTTGAAGTCTTTTGAGGTGATGAAATAACCCTTCCTCACAGCAAACCTGGCCAGCTGGTAGCTCACACAGTGCTGAGAAATGCTGCCTAATACTACAGAGCATGTGTGATGTAGCAAAATATAGGACGCATACATGGCCATGTATGATCCTAGTACTTATCACCAGTGCACATCTACATTTTGCCCAGTAGCCTCTGCATGCAGACAGCCTCACTTCTCTACTTCTGCCCGTATCATTAAGCTAAGAGAACAGCACTAGGTTGCAGCGCTGCAGAGCTGCAAGAGGCCACAGAAATCAGCTGTGATTTTAAAACTCATTTGTGGGAAGTGCGCATCAGAGAGGTTGTTTATTATTTAACCAGTCTCATACAGCAAGTGCGGAAAGGGCACAGGTCTGAAAACACACTAATCCCTCAGTAGCTCCCAATGCACCCCCCCACGTGCATGCACACATGCACACACACACACATACACACACACACACACACACACACACACACACACACACACTCTTCTGCAAATGCAAAATGCAGAGCCTAGAGACCGTGCCCCCTAGTTTTAGATCACAAGAGCACGAGAGCTTCAACTTTGGCACCATCCAGTTTTGTAGTCCTGCTTCCCTTCCTAATTTCTGTGTAGAATCAGCCAGGGCTATACAGTGAGACATGGTAAACAGTGGCGATTCCACACCCGAGTGAGCATTACAGGGAGGCTTCAGCTTAGTGGGTCCTTGAAAAGATGGGTTCCCAGTAAGGTTCTGGAAGCCCACTGGGAATGCTTGGTGGGTGGAGGGAAAGGTACGCAGGTGGGGAGGT